TGCCATGTGATGCGCCGTGTTGTTTACTACACTCTAGCGTTTCAGCGGTACAGCGAAAACTAACAGATCTCTTCATTGCACTTTGCACTGAATTATTCTGTACTAGTCTTTCCCAGGGCTGTTTAGTTTAATGCAGTTCTAGTGCAGTTTAGTGTAGCGAAAAAAAAACAGACCTATTATAAGAAGGGGGTGTAACGTCCGAACTTATTTTGAAACATTAATAATATATTAGTATAGATCGGAGGCCGACTTGCCTGATTTCAGATATCACTAGGTTAGATATTCACCAGGTATAGATATTTTATTCCTATGTTACTAGATGTAAGTACGTGCGCATATGTATATTTGCGCACGTTAAATATTATAATTAAAATTATAACTCCGAATACTGCGTGTCGTTAGAAAATCTTAAAATCGATGGATCAACTATAGACAAGAGAAACCGTAATCTCAATGCGGTAAGGCCCCTCGCTGCTAACAGAAACAAGAGCATGCAACCTAAATCCAAATTCAGGACCGAGGCGGCGATATCGACGCGGTGACATCATACCGATGGAATAAATTTCTTCCATCTCCACGACTCCATCAGCCAACCAGAAAACGACTCTCAGCGACAAAGCAACGTATAAAAACGTGCGCATTTGTTGAGAAGGCGATTCTTTTCTCGTAATTAGCTTTTGGTATTTGTATACTTATATACTTTGGAATATATTAGTCGTAAAATCCGACTGTGTAGCAATTATTTTTGTCTACCCCTCATTTCTCGAACGTTGCGAAATCGAAATTGGAATCGCGGACCGCATCATCCCGCGCAGCGCCGGAACATCCGAGACCGAGTCAGGAGAACGATCGGTTCTGATTTCTCACCAGATTCATCGATCGTTTCGCCAGACTTCGGAGACCCAGGGTAAACTCGGTAAAAAGCAGAGTGACCTAAAAGCGGAGTCATCACTCTGTTGACCGTCCACGTAAGTCACTGATTTTACTACTTTCAAATTTCCCTATATAGTTACCTATCGTGGATGTAACAACTACATGCTGTTGCACTGCGAAAACGAACAGCGTTGATGACGTTGTGGCGGCCATACTCTATCTCGCTTGCATGCGAACTCGCCCCCCACCACTCGCCGGCGAGCTAGTCTTTTGTCACTGCACGTCTAGTCCTTTGTCGCCGTGCGGCAGAAGAACAGTGGAGGCTAGCCCGCCGTTAGAGTTGCATCGTTGTAGTGTCTCTCTACGAAATAAAGGAGTCTTTCTTAATCTCTGTGCCGAGTACTCAGTGGGCACATGCCTAGATTCCTCCCGGGCTATCCACCTAACCTCCACAACGTCATGATGACGTCATTCTCGATAAAAAGAACGCTTTAGTGTAAACTTCCTGTACTGGTGTGCACTAGTGCAGAAAGTGTTCCGAAAAAAGAAAAACCTCTAGTCATTGATAGTCTAATACGAAAGTCTGATAGGAGCTTTACGGCGGATATTATATTCTTAGCTTTTAGTGAAGGCAGGTCAATTTTGAGATTGATCGCTGAATTCAGTTCAATGAACTGTTGCACTGAGTCAGGAGGTAGTGTGGTCAGTGCAGTGCATGAAAGTGTAGCTTGGAAGTGCATGTAGGCGTAACGGAAATTTATACGAAAAGTTTCTATCAGGTATGTGGCTCGTATTATATTGAAATGTGTGAAACATCTTTATTTCATTATCAAAAATTGTTAATATTATACCCTCACACACACATACACAGCAGAAATGTTCAAACATAACACAAGGATGAATTTAAGATGTCAAGATATCTTTATGATTTTCCTATGAAAAATGTTGAACATTTGAATTGTGTGAAAATATAATATGTACAATATATTATTAATTAAACATTTGTAGATATCTCACATAATAATGGAGAGTACGGAATTAGCCTTTATGAAGAGAAATCCTGGTGGAAAATTATACTCAATGAAAATAATAACGTGACATGCGTTTCTGAAGGTTATGTCTACAGAAAGTTATATCTACAGGGTAAATATATTGTAGATTTATTGCTATCATACGTTTTATTGTTTGTATCTGTCACTTATGTTTTTAAAACACTTATATATTGTTTGTGAAAAAATTCATTTTTCCAGATTCCCTGAAGCATGTATGTATAGAGAGTAAAAGCCCAGATGATAATATACTTAAGTATCTTGCCCACATTTATGCAGTCATCCAGAAATTCGTAGAGGCGATGCTTGTCCACCAGAAGTATTCCCAAATGGCATTACAAATGGAGCATATTGGTAAGCGATCATATTATGATGTACAAATCAATATTCTGTAGTAATTCTGTTTGCAAAATTATTATACATTTTTGAGGAACATAAATTAATATTTGAATATAGTTTATTCTGCAATATTAAATCGCTCATAAGATCACAATTTATCACGTTATAAAAATTTTTTGGATTTGTAACAGGTATGAAGTAATTGGCGAAATGCAAGATTTCAATTATGCTCGTTCTAATGCATTTGAAATAACGTTTGAACTAAGTTGGTGCAAATATCCATCAGCTTCAACGATATCAAATCAATGAGAAATGAATCTCTGATTAAATATTTGGACCAAGTAGTACATAAGTACACAAGTACATAATGGAATAAAAGGTAATGTTCAAATATGTCATTTTTATCTTGTTGAATTGATCAAATAGAATATATATATAATGTTTCTTATTGCAGGATTTGTATATAGCAAAGATGGTAATCCAATCCAAGAAGCAAACGTCATTGTAACAGGAATAAATATAACTATAACAATTGATGGCGAGTCCTACCAGATATGAAATATAATATATACTAAGTTACGAATATATATATATATATATATATATAAACATTGAACGGTATATACGCAAATTGATATAGAAGTAGATAAACATTGAACGGTATATACGCAAGTAGATAAACATTGATATAGAAGAAGATAAACATTGAACGGTATATACGCAAATTGATATAGAAGTAGATAAACATTGAACGGTATATACGCAAGTAGATAAACATTGATATAGAAGAAGATAAACATTGAACGGTATATACGCAAATTGATATAGAAGTAAACTATTGTTCCTCTAACTGTCTCGTGTTTTATAATATAAACTCTCTATCCTATTGCACAATTAATAATAATAAATAATGTTATAATACATTTTGTTATAATACATACTTTCCATCGAAGTAAATACATCACACGTCCTGAATCGATTTATTAGACCTTATGCTACTGATCTTGATAAGCGAAAATACATTATGAAATCAATATTGTTTTAATCGTTAACAATATTTTCGATATAATTTGATATTTTGATATGTTCTATCTTA